AGGGAAAGCATCTATCTAACGACTTGCAGTTCAACATAAAGCTTTTACGGGCAATAGAAACACTTGTGTACATCTCTTTGTAAAAAAAAAAAAAAGAGACTTCTGTGGGTGGCTGTGTGCATGCGTGCATCACTAGAGTAAGAAATAATTATATTTTGCTGTTGATATTTGTTTTTTCTATTTGAAGACCCTCTACAGTCTGCCATGGAGAACTCCATGGCAGAGGCTTGGAAGGGCAGAGGCTTGGAAGCTTAAAAAAAAAAAAAAAAAAAAAAAAAAAAAAAAAAAAAAGAAAAAGAAAAAGAATTAATCATAAAGAAAATGTTATATAACACGGCAATTTTAATGGGATAAAGCTGTGAGAGGTTTCTATGGTAACGCTGCTGTCAGCAGCTGCCTTGCCGTGGCATCTGGACATGTTTGGGGCTTATGAGGTGACTGCAGGCAATACTAGAAGATTAGAAAAATCACGAGTGATATGAAGTTTGGATATAACTCAGCATCCTTTTATTAAAAAAGAAACATGCAACCATTTCAGCTGAAACTTGTAGAAATTTTGGAGTGACAGTTGTGGACACGTGAAGGCAGTTAGCTGGAGCCTGAGTACTTGAGGTCTCCTAATTTCTGATTGCTAAAGCGGATGGTCCAATCTACCATGCCCGCACATAGGTTTGCATAACTTGTCTTCACCCTTACAGCTCTTTTGAAAAATCTGACCTAGCTGTGTTTGCAAAGCAGCCTCAAACTTTATTAGCAAAGTGGATTTCCATAACGGGGCTTTGATTTGCTTTTCCTCAGCAGAGCATCTTTAGAAATAGCCTGTGTCCGCAAGGAGTCAAACCTGAACAGAAAAAGCGCACTTCCAACCATGCCAAACCAGGCCTGAATTTTAGCTATTTTGACTGTAGACCTTCTGTAGAAAAAGACCTCGTGTTAGATGGCATCTGTGCTGTAACAAGTACTATCTGGGGGGAGTCCATTTACCGTTCAATCCCTTGAACACCTAAATGGGTGTCAGATTTGGAAAACCACTGACAAGTGTCTGATTTTTTAAATGTCAGGCACCTGCTGCATGTACCACTGAATATGGACCTAGAGAAAGGTGATTCTGCAAAAAAATTATGAACTTTGTGACCCACCTCTCTTGAACAGCCCCTTTAAATGAGTTGCAGTCCAACATGAGTGGAAGTAAGTGTTTTAGAAAGTTTACCTTGAAACTCTAGTGAGTTGCAGGGGCAGCAGCAGGTTATAATGGGAACAGTTTGAGTCTTGGGTGGGAGAAATTTGAGCTTGCTGAGAACTGCAAGGTCAGCAGTGTTGTGGGTTGTCGCTTACTAAAAAATTCTTCAAAGCTAGTGCTATTATGAGATTAGTGATAATAAAAGTGAATAAAATTGTCCTTAGCACTTACAGTGTGATGATGATGATGTATGTAAAAGGTTTTATTTGTTGGTGTTTAGCCTATAACTACTTTTATTTCAGATTATATGTGGCAGCAAGAATCTTTCTGCTTGCTATGTGCTATCCCATTTAGTTGCAGCCATTCATTTCATTGCATCCCATACGTGCTGTGCTTCCATTCAGCTTGATTAATACCAATTTCTCTGCAGCCATTGCCTCAGCATGAGTAAGGTGATGACCATATTTCCTCTTTATACAGGACAGTGTCGAGGCAGGGGATAAGGAGACAACTGGCGTTGCTGAGAAAGAAAGCGAGGTACATATAAACAGCCTCAAGAGCGTGGTTGTGCTTTAATATCTTCAAGATGATCATGGCAAAAAATGTATTTGTCATCTGCATGTCATCAATATGCAGGCCGATACGATGCAACTGTGACCTAGCTGCGGTATCTATTCTAACACTGCACAGATAATCTGCGGTATATATTCTAACACCAGAGCACCTTTCATTCAATGCAGGACCTGCCTTAGAAACTGCCTGTTGCAGCAGTATAGAGTGATAAATATCTCGGGGCAGCAAACAAAGCAGCTGCATGGTAGAAGGAGGTATAATGCTGTTTCTATTGACATTTGGAAATATGTTGCATAGATTCCCAGTAGCTTTTACACTTTCCATAAATTTGTTTGCCTAGCCTTCCTACAATCTTTATAAAAAGAAAAAAGAATTTGTTAATAATTTAGTTTTCCTAGCACAATATGCTCTGAACTAAAACAGATATTTGAAAATAATCATTATGAGTTTGTTTGCTAAAGCACAAATCCTGCATCAAGTTAGATACAGTTAAAACCAATTGCAAAGCAACAAAAAAGCTCAATGACATACTTTAAGCTGTGCATGTGTGAACTTGAATGATTGTATTTTGCTTACATTTCTTCAGAGGTGATAAAACTACTTACCCTGAATCCTTCTATACTAAAGTGAAACTATAATGTGTTCAAATGTGCACAGAGAGCAGCACAAGAGGAATGGCTACATACTAAATTCAGGGATAGAAGTGAGGACTGAGAAAGAGATTGTAACTTCCAGTCATTAATCACTTAGGATTTGTATCTCGAGGTGCTGACTACCTCTTTTTTTGTTGTTATTCATTCTGGTGCCACAACGTATACAAAAAGATCATGAACTAGTGTCCATTCATTTTGGTTTCAGAATATGGTAAGTCTAGCTGTCCAAGCTTGGGTTTGTTACCCTGCTGTAAAACAACATTAGCTCTGCTACGGTCAAGCATATATCTGTGGCTCCAGGGTATCCCGGTGTCACTGGGAAGCTAGTTTGGAACTCACTGGTGCCGTACTCCTCACCAGCACTGCCACATCCGTGTAAAAATCAGTGGAATTATACTAGCAAGAAAGTACAGGACGGCAGTGGTAGATCAAGCCCAGCTTGGTGTTGACACAGTGCAAGAGTGTTGCGTTGCTTCTCTAGTGTTGGCTTGTCACTCCTAATAAGACTGGTCCAAGTAGAAACATGCAAGAAATTCCTCACTATCCTGTGAGAACCAAGACTAAGTCTTTGAAATCTTTCCCCTGTTTTCTAATACCACTTGCGCTTATAAATTTGAGGTCTATTATCTGGTGAGTTTGACCCTGTGTTCTGTTTAAAATAGTAGTATTACTGTATGCAGAAGAGTTGCCATAAGAGATCAAGCTATTTGCTAAACTGATATCTGACCTTCAGTGGCAGGTTGTCCCTTTGATACTATAACTTGCATAATAAATTCTTCAGTACTACCCCAAAAGTCTTCCAAGACTTCGCAAGCAATTGATGTATTCCCTAAAGCATGATGATTAGTTCCTCTTGACATTATATTAGCTAGCTTAGCTGCAATTATAACCAAATGTCATGAAAATTACCCCGTCCCTTTCTAAATCCAGCCATGGGGCGAGATCTTCAGCTCTGGAAAACCGGCATAGCTCAGAGTGCTCCTCTGGCAGACCCCCCAGCGGCAGGCTCAGTACCCCTCCTTCTCCTCTCCCTGGGCTCATTCTTGCTGCTGCCGAATCTGTGGCATTGTGTTGAGCTGTCAGCGGCGTTAATGAGAGGAGAGTGCAACCGTGTGAATCGGCTGCATCCTGGGTAAAGAAGCATTCACTTCTGCTGCAATTAAAACAGTCAAGTGGTTCTTCTATCGCAGCCCTCATTGTACTGGATGACCCTTGCTTTGTCCCCTGTGTGGTTGGTATAATGGGACAACTGTCCAAATTTCAATAATACTGCTAGAGAGAGCTAATTTGGAATACTATTAGGCTGTCTAGTATTATGGATGACCTATGGAAAAGAGGTTTGTAGGGCTGGTTTTCAATATGAAATAAGGTAATACAGGTAACTATATCTGCAAGTATGCAGTTCACCATAGCTGGGTATGAATTCAGTGGGATGAGCCTCCCTCTTTTTTTTTCTTTTCTGTACTAATCAAATATATTTGAGGCTGATAGTGAGATTCATTCTGTGCTACCTCACATGTGTTTTTGTAAAAGCTTTTTTTAATCATCTAGCTTGCATTGTTTTCATACTCTGAGACACAAGAACAAATGATTACGCAGTTGTGAGCTGTGGTATACATTCAATGACTCATGGCTAAAGGCTGTGAGAGCGTCACCTTTTCAGTGCAGGTTATTTGAGAGCTGATGCATGCAAATTAATATTCTCCTCCTTAGTGAAATAAAATGGGCTATACAAATCCAATAAATAGAAAAGAACTGTTGATCCTAATCACAACAGACAGCAAGATCAATTTCTGCAGCATGCTGTTAGAAGCACATGGTATAAAATCAATCTGATATGCACTCTGTTCCCCCTCTTTCCTACTAGCCTCTTCCAGGGCTTTTTCACTCATCATTTGTTTTAATATCTTCTTGGGCCAAGGCTGCTAAAATTGGTAATACTATGAGTGGCAGGCTTGCATGCCTTACAAGTCACAGGAGAAGATGTCAACATCTGCCCATGTCTTTTGATGTTACTTCTTTTTACGATAGGCTATCCTTTGTCAGCAGCATTTTCAATTTAAACTAAAGCTTCTCCAGTAATTTCTACAAAACCCTATAGTATTTTCTGCCTTCAAGGTCTCCAGAAAGATTTCTTTATCACATCAATTAACAGCAGTGAATAGGAGTAGTGCTGAATATTAGATATTGCTAAAAAAACAGTGCCTGAAGAGTGCCCATGAGCAATTGCAGATAGTTCAGTTGAGTCCAGGTAGCTGAGTTAGCCTCATCCATGGAGGAAGGATCAAATTGAGGAAACAAAGAGTATCAGGCTGTTAACTGGAGATCAGAGATATTTCTACTAACTGTAGCTTGACATTGGTACCTAGAAAACAATTTTTTGTCAGTGTTTTTACTTTATCCTGGTGCTATCTGCTGTACGTTAAAAATTCCATGTTGAAGTTAATTGGATTAACAGAATGAGTTTTGTCATTTACCTTCCACCCTCCAACTCTTAAGATTAATCCACTGTAAGTATGTAACAAATATGCTACTGTAAGCATATACCAGTTTATATCAATACAAATATTAGGGTGATACATAGATTACAGCAACAGTGTCTGCTGGATGAAGGATTCAACATTGATCTATAGGCAGGTACTTTTCTATCCACCTTTCAAGAACTGGAACAAAACACTCATTAACTTTTCAACGTGGACTGATCACAAATGGTTTAGCCATATCCAGACTGAATAAGCTTTTATGTATGTTTCTTTTTTTTATGCTGACCTAGCTATAGATCTTTACAGTTATATTTTTTGCTGATATCTGATGGAATCTGAAGATTTCTGATCTTTATCTAGCTGTAGAATGTATTTGCTCACTGATATAGCCCGATTTGCAAGTCTCTCTATTGGAAAGGAGTGTGTAATTAAGGCAATATTTTTGAAGCCAGCCCGGGTCTAGAGGTAGGTGATAGTAGCTGGAGAAGGCTTGGAGACTCCTCCCAAGAACAGATTCCACTAGCAGGGTTCTGTGGACCCCTGGACAGCTTGCAAGCTCCTTCTCAGCAGAAACCTGCGGTGAATTTCTTCCACAATACAGCTTGAAGGCAAGAGAAGGAAAAAATACTAAAGCCTTGGCAAACTGTTACTCCACCGGTAACACCTGAGGACTCAGCTAAACGTGCCTAGTGAGGTTTCATAAATTTCCCTCTCCTACCTGTTAATCATCTCCACCACGCAAGCTTACCCTTATGCTCCCTGTGCCGTGCATCGGGGCAGGATGGCAGCCCCTGGTGCTGCTCTGCCCCACAAATCAGGAAAAACCCCAGTGAAACCAAGGCCACAGGTTGGCACCACCCAGGGAGGTCGCAGAGCAGAGGCTGGTCCATGGTGTCTCCAGCAGATATCCAGAACTCGTATCCTGAAAGGTTCCTCCCTCCTGTTGTTTGTAGGGAGTACCTGCCACCGAGGGGGCTGCGGCAGCAGAAGATAGTGCGGCTGTGGCAGCAGGAGCTGGTGATGGCGTTGCTACCACTAAGCAGGAGGGCGTTGCTGAAGGTGACAAAGCTCAGGGAGAAGAAAAGGAGGCTGATGTGTCTCAGGTAACTCATGTCGGTGCACGGGAGAGTGTGTTAGGGGAATCGGGACAGATCCAGAAGCCTGAGAGGGGCAAGGCTGCTGCAGCTCTGGGCCCCCACGTCCAACAAGTAGCAAGGGTGAGGCTCTCCTGGGATAGCCCTGGGAGGGGCCCACATGGGGTGTCCCTTCTTCTGAGTCCTTAATTTGGGTTGTGCCTGCCTCTGTGCCCCTGTGTTCCCCTGGGCTTGAGGAGATGGGACTTGATGGGCTGATGTCTCCTGTGATGGGCACGGGAGCAGCATGGGCAGGGTATTGTTTGCGTTCCCCCTCCTGCTGTTGTCTCTCTGTGCTCCTCTGTGGAGATGACCTTTATCACATAACCTAACAGGGCTTTCTGGAGAAACAGGCAGAGAAAGTAACGGATTTTTCTTGTCTCCTGGCACAATGTCCTATCAATAACATTACTTTGTTTTATGTAAATCATGGTGGTCAAGCTGTATATCTGCATCTGGCCTACTGCCTTTTCTTCTGTGACCTCTGAGGAACTGCTACTAGAGCAGACCCTGCAGCTGGGCAGCCGGTTGCCACCTCCTTCCATTGCACGTTGTATTTCTTCTGTGCACCAGAATAGGATGGTCTGGCAGAGGATTGGTGAACGTGTTCTTTTCAGGTTGGATGCTCCAACAAGTTTCATTAAATGCTTTTTGTCCTAGGCTTCGTTATTGGTCAGATGCTACCTATTTAGCCTTTTTGCTTTCTCTGCTCCCCATTGTAAATCAGGAGAAATCCCCTCAATCAGTCAAAGAAATAGGTCATGTTTCCTTCTTTCATCTCCTTTATATCACTGTTATCCTGCTGACTTGGATTCCCAAAGAAATACAGGACAGTGACTCCTGGAACTTGTGGCTTTACCCAAACCCACCCAAAGTTAAGAGCAGAGTGGAGGAGAAAGGTCTGTTAATTTCCATGCACATTGAAAATGAAACCCAAACTACCTGCAGAGCATTTTTATTAATTACTGCAATAATTTGTGGTAATATAGAAAGTAGACTTAGGATGACTAAGGGGAACAGTGAAAACAGGGAAGTGATTACTCCTTCACGTTCTTGCACAAGTACTGTTTCCTGCCTTAATGTAAGAATCCACTGTGGAGAAGAAAGAAATCCCCGTTCCCATATTTGCCCTGTGCAATAAAAAAACAATTGTGTTTTCCTGCTTGAAATAAAGTACTGAATACTCTTATGGTGCTTTTGTGGTTTGTTTTTTTTTTCCCCAGGAAAAAGTCAGCAGCATCCCTTCAGTAGTAATAGAGCCAGCATCAAACAATGAGGGGGAGGGAGAAGAACACGAAGTCGTCGTGAAGGAGTCCAAAGATGCCGCAGCAGAGATGGGCACTCAGGGCACTGACACTTCTCCCAGTGAAACTTCCCAAGTTGAAAGTGAGCAGAAACCCACCGAAGAAATGCAGGCCGCACCTTCTCAAGATCAACCTGTTCCAGCAGAAGATGCAGCTTCTGCGATGCCACCCGGCTTTCTCTTTAAGGTCTGCTTCTTCATTCTTCTTTTAGACACCCCTTCAGATCTAGCTTCTGTGGATGTGTCTGTCTGTGCCGGCAGTGTGATGATTTCTTGAGGCCAAAGGATGCTTAGTTTAACAGCCGGACACGTGCACACACAAATACACACAAACACAACTTTAACATTGTGTTGTTGCTTCATACATGAAGTCCGAGAAGTTACATTTTCTGCACACCATTGTTGCTGTGCATATCCTTATGTAGCTGTAAGACTCACTGACGTACAAGAACCCTTTCATCTCGCCAAATGACTACTGACAATGAATATATTGAGTAAAACTGCACTGCCACAGAGTTAGTCAGCAATATTGTATGATATATGCTAACAATATATCTGATATACTAACAATATATTCGATCTTTAAGGTCCCTTCCAACCCAAACCAATCTATGATTCTATGAATATTAAAAAATGGCATTTTTCTTGCCTGAAAATCTATAGTGGAAGTTTTGGTTCTATTGAAACCCATGGGACTTCTACAGTTCACAATAATGAAGCTAAAATGTCGTTCTGTGACTTTAGTAATATTATAGTTATAAACGGTTAGGGTAATCAAAAGGAAAAGTTTAATGAGGCGTAAGAGAAATTCTCTCCTTGGCTGGCAAGACCCATAGGGTTTCCTGGTTCACAAGGTTCTTTGATGATGCTTCTCACTTCAGAATCACTGAGCAGCAGAAAAGCTTCTTGAGGATGGATGAACTTTACATGCCTTCCTATTATAATTTGCATAGTTCAGACTAATTAGTCCCGTAGCACTCCATAAGTATGCCATTCTTCTTGGTCTATTCTCATTGCTCAATATTTTCAGCAAACTTTGAGAATAACGTTAAGGTGCGGGTGAACGGTATCGTGCAACTCTGACTCAGACATGCTGACCTAGTTCATCTTTTGTTTTTCATCACACTCTCTTGGGTCAGACATAAATAAGGAGAAGCCTGCCATCTGGTTCTTGATACCGTTTTCTTTCATTATTGCAGAGTTAGCATGGAACTGGCTGTGCTTCGAGAAAATTAGAATAGCACATCTCTTAAGGAGGTAGAACCATTTAGTTAAAATGGACTGTTCAGAACAGCATGCTGATCCTGCCAATGTTTTAATAATAGCCCCTTTGAAAGACAGGTATTTTTGGCATGCCCATCTGCCAGTAAATGGGAGCTCTTTCCAGGGCAAACATAAAGTAGGGTTACCATTACTCGTCTCTTTGATCACCTATTGAAATTGGTGCTGTACGTCCCACTCAAATTTCCATGGATGTTTACTGCAAGAATAATATCCAGTGGCCACAACAAGAGAATGAGTGAGAGTCTGAAATATTGGTTCCTGGGAGTCTTTCCCAAGTTTATTTGCAAAATCCTGCCGTCCCTCTCTCAGATCTAGTAATGCTAGTGGGGAATGAAAGCAAATTGCTTACACAGAAGAAATAAGGGTGGCAGGACTTGTCTGAGAGGCAGGACTTGTGGGGTGTTGCAGTATCATCTGTCCTTGAGATCCTGTGACCTTGGGAAAGGATCTTAGGTTTCCTTCGATAGTTTCAGGAGGGCTTACTTAAGCTGTCCCCTGCTTCCAAGGATATGAACAGAAAACTTTGACGTGAATCAATGTCAACATTAATGATTTGAATGCACCTACCTATAGCCATGTGTTTGCATAAAGAAGGCACATTGTTTGTTTTTTTTTAATAAAGGTTTAACAGAAAAATTCATTGAGAAAATGTCTCCATTTAGATCATGTCTATATGTTTGGTGTTACTTTCTTCAGGTTGAAGTTCTACACGATTTTGAGGCAGCTAACAGTGATGAGCTTAATTTAAAACGAGGAGATATTGTACTAGTAATTCCTTCTGAGACCACAGCTGATCAGGTAAAAACATGTGGTTCTTTCTTTTGTTGACGCTTTCCTTTGTTTCATTTTATTTCTCACAGATTATAGTTAATGGGAAATGTGTATTCAAAATGTCATTACTGTTAGAAAACATGAAATTAGTAATTTTGTCTTTGTACTTGGTTCCATTTGAGACTAAATGGCACAGTTGGCTACAGCTAAAGTCCCGGATATATGCTGCTAACAGGATCTGGCCTCAGCATATTTTCTAGGGCTTTTTTAATGCTACTTTGTAGTGGATTTTATACAGGCATGCATGCACACAATGACTTAGTATGGAAGATGAATTACAAATTGTGCCTCTAAAACTAACTCTGCCTTCTAGAAGCCTGAACCTGAATTAAACAACAGTTTAATTTAAGACATCTTATTTTGTTTTAAAAATGCATTTTTAAACAATTTTATTCCACGTGTTAAATTGAATTGCAGTGAAGTGAATTGATTTTTGGCCACTGCTTTAGAAGACCGTACTGTACACTGTTAGCACCAGCCACTTCGTGGGCATCTGTTAGTGCCAGTAGTGTTGGTGAAAAGTCTCCCGTTGATTTGGGGGTTGAGAGGTGGGGGACTGGATCCTGCCTAGTGAGGTAGCTAAGAGCACTGCTCTGAATGAAGAGTATTTCTTAAAATAGGTCTAAATACTAACGCTCTAAGCACATATGAGTGCTGGGGACTGTATTTGAAATTGTTTCGATGGTTGATGCTGTCCAAAGGTGGGTAATAACCAGTGTTCATCATCTCAGCTGAGCTTTCTTTTAATACAAGAGACAAGTAATTGGGTTTTTTGTTGGGGTTTTTTTATTGTTTTTATTTCAGAATAAAAGATTTTCCTTTCAGCAGGGCACTTTGCTCTTTTTATTGGGATAGATTCTGTTATCCTTACTCAAATTATGCTGCATCTTACCTCATGGGCAGTTTAACTGATTTCGTTATCAGTATTTGCAGAATAGGACACTGCTGTAAGGATAACAAAATCTGCTCTCTGTCTTCAGTCTGGTTTTTTTAGGATGTTATGTATTAAATATGCTTAATCTTCACTTGGTGAATCCATGAAGTATATTCTTCTCTTGTGGTGTGCATCGAAATTCCATTAGCATTAATTGGAGTAAATTGTGTGCAGTGAGGGAGAAAATAAACCTTTATGTATTCATGTTTCTGAAACCATTCTGGCCATATCTTTATTACTCAGTACCTATTTGCCCTTCATGTTTAACATCACCATAAAGCTTACTCTTTTTGTCTTTTGCCAGGTACTTTGTTGATTTATATAGAGTCTTTTTATCTTTGTTATTCTTTATTCTCCTTCAAAATTGGCCTGTCTAAAACCATAATTCTAGTATAGCTGGTAACATCAGCCTGTGTTCCCCATTTGAAGCAAACCAGTCCCATCCAGGGGCTTCAATTTTTCCATTAGTCTTGAGTGGAAGTTATTACCCAGTAAAACTGTTAATTCCTTCATACAATCTACTCTGCCTGTGCTAGAAAGCTGTAGTTCCTCTCTCCTTTTTCTCAGATATTCCACATGCTTCAGAAATGTGTCCCCAGTTACGTGTACCCAGCCAATGCCATACATAAGCTCTATCTGCTTTAATGACGCTTATTTTGGGGAAGAGAGCCAGTACACCACCACATGCAGCCACTGAGCAGTCGTGACTTGCTGTTGTACGTGAAGATCCGTTCATATTACTCTATTTCCTTGTGTACTCTCTGTGCAATAATAATATGGCAGCATTAGAAATTCCCTCTTCATCATGGCTTTGCGCTGGCTCCTGTTCTTAAAAGGAACAAAGCACAGAGTTAGTGAGATGAGAACAGGTTGATCGTTTTTAAAAAATACTGAATTGGTTTTATTCCAGGTAGAATTGATAACATTTAAGAGAACCCAGCACTTTCCGATGAGAAATCTCTCTTTCAATTGCTTGGGCTGTGGGTTTGGTTCAAAATTTTGCATGTGAAATTCTGGTTTAGGTTTCCAGGAATTTTTGGAAAAACAGTTTAATACCAACTAAGTTTGAGTTTCTAGATATTGTAACTCCAGAGGATGCAAGAACTGTTATTTCTTCTGACTGCTGATACATGACCGAGAGAAAAGAACTCTCAGGGAAAAAAATTCAGACTGAAAACTATTTCCCCCCTCCATCTATGGTATTGTGTAATGTTTCTGGCCCACTGCTATGCTCTTACTGCACAAGTGCACCAATATTACTGTGGGAACTTTGAAAAAGTTTCAACAGAGATTTGCACAAATGCAGATCTGGTATAATACTGGATGACCTGGAAGACTGATTATCCAGTTTTGAGTTCAGCTGGGAGTTAGATGGGCTAAAGGCCATACAATATGCTCACAGTCACTCAGTCTCACAAAACTGGGGTCTGGCAGAACAAAGAAAACAGCCTGTGCAAAATCAGAGGCTGGTTTTTAACCAAAGCACCAAATCTTTTAGCCGTGTGACTCTGAAATGTCTTCAGGTGTGACGCTCATAGCAAGGAAGGGGAGAGAACTGAAGTTTAAGAGACTCTGTCTTTTTCCTTGCAGGAGGCTGGCTGGTTGACAGGCATTAAGGAATCCGAGTGGCTTCAGTACAGAGATGCAAATAGTTATAAAGGACTTTTCCCAGAGAACTTCACGCGCCATCTGGAGTAGTTCTCTGCTCAGGCAGACGAATGTGGTACGAAGCTCAGTCAGTAGGTTTTTAACCTCTTTGAAACACAGGAGCCCACCTTTTTGTAGTTTAAGCTGTTGATGGTTTACAGACTGGTGCCAGACAAAGCTTGTTGAAACATATCGAAATGAGCATGAATGCAAACAGTTAAGCTAGCAATTTCTGAAGCAGTACACAAAAAAAAAATCAAATAAAAAAGAAATGTCCTTATTTGTTCACACGTACGTGGCAACAGGTTTGTTTGTGCTTTGTCAGAGCTATGGTGATCCTGTATTTGGTCCTTCCCCATGAAATCTGAAATTAGCCTCCTCGATACCAAAACCTTAACTTCTCTGCACTAAGTGTATTGTATTGAGTTGCACTGCAGAAGATTTAATTAGTTATCCTGTAGTAATGAGGTCAAACTATTATAAGTTTCATGTGTTTAAAAAAATAATTAACTGCTGCAACGTTTTTCAATGTTATTTTTGGACATGCATAATATATATACACACAAGAATTTATATGTGTATATATAAGTGCATATGGATATATATGCATTTTCACAACTTCATCGTAGTTCTTTGACTGTGTAGTATCATCAGTACATGCATTGCTCTTTCACTGTCTGGCATTACAGGAAACAGTTTTGTTCCAAAGCAAAACTAGCTGCTCCATTGCCAAAACACAATACAGTATCTGTGTTTGTAATGTGAAATTTTCATTCTGAGATGATGAATAACACCATGTTCAAAGCTGCTAAACCTTTGAGAAGGCATGGCTCGGTCTCCCAGCTGCAGTAGTTACAATGAGATAATCTGGAGGGGGAGCTGTTATGATGCTAATCTATACTTTTTTATTTAATTGGCTGAATAAATAAAAAAGAAAGAAACAGAACTAATCTCTGAAAAGAAATAAACACAATATATTTTCACTATATGTATTTATGCAGTGTACCTTCACAGATCCTTTTAAAATAAGATATATAATGTATCCTGTATCAAAAAGTCATCTGTAACTTATGTTTTTCAGTGCTGTGTCATTAAAAATAAACCTTTGATCCAGAGAGGCGGTTTCATCTGTGGTGCTTTTGAAGTTTCGAAACGCTGACATTCGTATAGTTTATAGGTTGTATTACAGAATCCAATCTTAATTTAATACCGCTTTTTCCAAAGAAACACAGCATAACAGGTGGACCATTCTTGCTCTCAAGCCTCGTCGTGGCCAGAGCTCCAAAAGGTCCGAACCCCAGCTCAGCACATCTCCTAGCTGCTCTTCCTGTTCCAGACTCTGACTGCCAGCTAATATCTGTCCACGAGCACCAAGGGAGCTTGTCTGTGCTTGACCATCACTCAACTGAAGATTGCTACCTCTTAATTTTTCGCTTGTCCATTTATTTTGTGTGGAAAGAAAGTTCTCCGTGAACCTGCTCTATTGTTTTTGCTGATGCATGGAAGCTGCAAATATTGGGGAACATCTATATTTTCCTAGCAATTCAGTTATTTTTCATGATATATCGGCTGAGGGCTTGTTTTGTGTGCAAACTGTATCTGTTTCCACTCTATTCCTAATCTGTCAGATTTCAGCTGAAGAAACAGACTTTTTGGTACTCTGGAAGAGGAGGAAAGTTGGTTTCTCTCTGTTTTTCAGAATACAGTAGGTTTCAAAAGCAAGTCTAACGATAGCTGTGTATTGTGAAGAAGTTGAATGGCTCAGCTGTGATAGCTGGGATTTCGGCTTTGAAATGTCACAATGAGCTATCAGAGTCTAAGGAGGTTGCAGGAAAGCTCTTTGGTTTTCTGTTCATTCCTTTAGCAGGTTTGGTGGTCAGTAGTGATCCAGGGCCAAGAATCTCACCAGAGAAACAACTTTCTTTTGGTTTTCATGCATTACAATAAATTCCAGACTCCAGTGCACTACTTTGAAGTGGTCGTAATAACGTGTTACACCTGATTTATGGTGAAACTCTGATTACCTCCAGGCCATTTTCCTGCTTAACTATATCTCAACACTTGCATTTTAGTAATAACTGCCCTACGGATCACTGCAACAGACCAGCACTGGACACTAGATCCTCAGTTTCCCTGTGGACACCATGTCACCACTTCTTTGACTAGGGCCTA